AAGGGAAGACTTTCATACAAGGACTAGATTTTCTGTTTTTCCTCCACTGCAGGCATCCCAGTGTTCCTGACTCTCTCCATTGGTGTGGAATGTCCTCCACAAACACCCCCCAAGGGAAGGTTTTCATACGAGGACTAGATTTTCTGTTTTTCCTCCACTGCAGGCACCCCAGTGTTCCCGACTCTCTCCATTGGTGTGGAATGTCCTCCACAATCACCACACTACCCACCACCCAAGAGAACGCTTTCATACGAGGACTAGATTTTCTGCTTTTCCTCCACCACAGGCATCCCAGTGTTCCTGACTCTCTCCATTGGTGTGGAGCCCGACCCGGACCCGATTGTTGTCCCCTCTCTTTACCAGGATGTCGGCGCTCTCCCTGCGGAGCGGGACCATCTCCACCCGGTCCAGAGAGGAAGCGCTTGGGAGCGGCGGGGGGCTGTGTCCAGGCAGCGGCCGCAGGAGAGGCAGGCTGAGTGACCGCAGGTCCTTGACCGCCTGCTCCACCTTCAGCTCCTCCCCGGGTTTGGCTGCAAACGGAGGAGAGAAAGAAAGGCTTCAATGGGGGTCAGACTAGATGACCCTTGGGGATGCCCTCCCAACTCTAGTGAAGGAAAGGCTGGATGACCCTTGGGGGTCAGACTAGATGACCCAATGGAGTTCCCCTTCCAACTCTATTGGAGGAGAGGCTAGATGACACTTGGGGTCAGACTAGATGACCAAATGGGGTCAGACTAGATGACCGAATGGGGTCAGACTCGAAGACCCTTGGGGGGTCCCCTTCCATGATCCTTGGGGTCAGACTAGATGACCCTTGGGGTTCCCCTTCCAACTCTAGTGAAGGAGAAGCTAGATGACCCTTGGGGGTCAGACTAGATGACCAAATGGGGTCAGACTAGATAACCGAATGGAGTCAGACATGACGACCCTTGGGGGTCCCCTTTCATGATCCTTGGAGGTCAGACTAGATGACCCTTGGGGTTCCCCTTCCAACTCTAGTGAAGGAGAAGCTGGATGACCCTTGGAGGTCAGGCTAGATGACCAAATGGGGTCAGACTAGATAACTGAATGGGGTCAGACTAGATGACCCTTGGGGGTCCCCTTCCATGACCCTTGAGGGTCAGACATGATGACCCTTCCATGACCCTTGGGGTCAGACTCAATGACCCTTGGGGTTCTCCTTCCAACTCTAGTGAAGGAGAGGCTAGATGACCCTTGGGGTTCCCCTTCCATGACCCTTGAGGTCAGACTCGATGACCAAATGGAGTCAGACATGATGACCCTTGGGGGTCTCCTTCCATGACCCTTGGAGGTCAGACTAGATGACCCTTGGGGTTCCCCTTCCAACTCCTTTGATGGAGAGGCTAGATGACCCTTGGGGTCAGACTTGATGACCAAATGGGATCAGACTCAATGACCCTTGGGGTTCCCCTTCCAACTCTAGTGAAGGAGAGGCTAGATGACCCTTGGGGGTCAGACTAGATAACCAAATGGGGTGAGACATGATGACCCTTGGGGGGTCCCCTTCCATGACCCTTGGAGGTCAGACTAGATGACCCTTGGGRGTCCCCTTCCAACTCCATTGATGGAGAAGCTAGATGACCCTTGGGGTCAGACTTGATGACCCATGGGGCCCCCCTTCCATGAGCCTTTGGKGTCAGCCTAGATGACCCTTGGGGTTCCCCTTCYAACTCTAGWGAAGGAGAGGCTGGATGACCCTTGGGGGTCAGASTMGATGACCAAATGGGGTGAGACATGATGACCCTTGGGGTCAGACWTGATGACCCTTTCATGACCCTTGGAGGTCAGACTAGATGACCCTTGGGGTTACCCTTCCATGACCCTTGGGGGTCAGACTCGATGACCAAATGGGGTGAGACATGATGACCCTTGGGGGTCCCCTTCCATGAKCCTTKGRGGTCAGMCTAGATGACCCTTGGGGTTCCCCTTCCAACTCCATTGATGGAGAGGCTAGATGACCCTTGGGGGGTTCCTCCCTGCTGACCTTTGACCCGCAGGTAGTGCCCCCCGAAGCGATAGGCCTCGAAGTGGAGGGAGAGCGGGGTGTGGGACTGGTCCAGGTACACGTCCACTCTGGCCACCTCGATGCCCTTCCGCTCAAAGACCGGGAGGAGGACTTCCCTGGAAGGAAGGAAGAGAAAGAATACATTCAAATACTAAATTATTATTATTATTATTATTATTATTATTATTATTATTATTATTATTATCATCACCATCATCACCATCATCTATGTGTCTTAATAGTCTTATATTTCTATCTATGTATTTTAACTGTTCTACTTGAGGTGGTGGGTATGAATCACTATTATTATTATTATTGATATTATTATTATTACTATTATTGATATTAATTATTGATTACCCGAGCGCCTTCTTCTTCATGGCCGGCACGATCTCCGTCTCGACGTCGAGGCTGAAGTCGAACTTCAAGGTGAAGCATTCCTTGCTGGGATCCTGCAAAAAAAGAGATGGGGACGATGGTCTATGTAGTCAGTGGAGCATAACGTTGGGCAGGATGGGGGTCGGACTAGATGACCTTTGGGAGTCCCATCGTCCCCCCGCTTACGTCGGTGTGTCTTCTCCGGGCCTTCTTCTTGGGGAGCTTCAAAGCGGAGCTCTTTCGGTCCCTGCAGAAAGAGGACAAAAATAATAACAATAATAACAATAATAATAATAAATTATATTATTGTTATTATTATTATTAGCAATGCACAGACATAGGAGTCAAAGCAATCATAATAATAGTAAATTTAAAAAATTATATTATTATTATTATTATTATTATTAGCAATGCACAGACATAGAAGGAGAGTCAAAGCAATCATAATAATAGTACTCCGCCATTTTATGATTTCGCGGATACCGAGATCCGAAAGAAGAGACTCCGTATCCGCGGTTTCCAATAACGCAGATCCGGCGGAGCTCTTTCGGTCCCTGCAGAAAGAGGACAAAAATAATAACAATAATAACAGTAATAATAATAATAATAAATTATATAATTAAAATTATTATTATTATTATTATTATTATTATTATTATTATCAATGCACAGACATAGGAGTCAAAGCAATCATAATAATAGTAAATTAAAAAATTATATAATTAAAATTATTATTATTATTATTATTATTAGCAATGCACAGACATAGAAGGAGAGTCAAAGTATTAATCATAATAATAGCACTCCGCCATTTTATGATTTCGCGGATACCGAGATCCGAAAGAAGAGACTCCGTATCCGCGGTTTCCAATAACGCAGATCCAGCGTCCCTGGAACGCCAGGGAGGCATTCCGGGCAGGCTCGCGGTACATATTATATATTTTATTATATTGTTAGCAATTACTATTATTATTATTATTGTTATTTAATAATAAGGAGAGTCAAAGCAATCATAATAATAGTAAATTATTATATATTATATTATATATTTTATTATATTATAACCAATTATTATTATTAATACTATTATTAACAATGCGTAGACATAAAGGGAAGTCAGGGATAAAAGCAATTATTATTATTAGTAGTAGTATTAGTATTATTAGCAATATAAGGAGTCAAAGCAATCATAATAATAGTAAATTATTATATATTATATATTTTTTATTATTAGCAATTATTATTATTATTTAATAATAAGGTGAGTCAAAGCAATCATAATAACAGTAAATTATTATATATTATATTATATTATTAGCAATTATTATTATCATTAATACTATTATTAGCAATGCATAGACATATAGGGAAGTCAAGGATAAAAGCAATTATTATTATTATTATTATTAGCAATGCACAGACATAGGAGAGTCAAAGCAATAATAATAATAGTAAATTTAAAATATATATATAATAATTATAATAATAATTATTATTATTATTATTAGCAGTGCACAGACATAGAAGGAGAGTCAAAGCAATCATAATAATAGTAAATTATTATATATTATATTATATTATTAGCAATTATTATTATCATTAATACTATTATTAGCAATGCATAGACATATAGGGAAGTCAAGGATAAAAGCAATTATTATTATTATTATTATTAGCAATGCACAGACATATAAGGAGAGTCAAAGCAATAATAATAATAGTACATTATATTATTATTATTATTATTATTATTATTAGCAATGCACAGACATATAAGGAGAGTCAGAGCAATCATAATAATAGTACATTGTAATATTATTATTATTATTATTATTAATTAGCAATGCATAGACATAAAGGGAAGTCAGGGATAAAAGCAATTATTATTATTATTATTATTATTATTATTATTATTATTATTATTAGCAATGCACAGACAGAAGGAGAGTCCAAGCAATCATAATAATAGTAATTATATATTTTATTATATTATTAGCAATTATTATTATTAATACTATTAAACAATTATTATTATTATTATTATTATTATTATAGTAAATTATTATATATTATATTATATATTTTATTATATTATTAGCAATTATTATTATTAGCAATTATTATTATTATCGCCTGCCTGTCAATCCCATAGAGAAAAGAAGAAAGAAGGGAACGAGTCAGAGGGAAAGGAAGAGGAGGGTCGAGTCCTCCCTGCATGCGGAGATGCAGCTTCTCAGGGAAGCGGAGCGAGCTTTCCAGTGGCAAGGAGTTCCCTTGTCTCAACGGCTCACCCTTTCCCCTCGGCGGGGCCGTCCCCTTCCTCTTCCACGTCCGAGGCCGGGCTGGTGCGCGGAGGGCAGGAGCGCGTGGAGACGTTCCGCGCCAGGACCGGCCCTGAATGAGAAATACAATCAGCAATAGGTATTATTATTATTATTATTATTGTTGTTGTTTTGTTGTTGTTGTTGTTGATAATAACAATATAATGATAATAATAATAATAATAATAATAATAATAATAATATATCTCCTTACAGATCCCCTTCCGACAGAGGTTGGATGAGCCTCTTTCGGGAGGGCTTTAGTTCTGAATGGAGCAGGACTAGATCATAATGATACTACTACTACTACTAATAATAATATAATAAAAATAATACTAATAATACCACTACTACTACTACTACTAATAATAATAAATATATAATAATAATACCACTACTACTACTAGTAGTAGTAATAATAATAATATTATAATAGTAAAAATACTACTACTACTACTAGTAGTAATAATAATATTATAATAATAGTAAAAATACCACTACTACTACTACTACCACTACTACTACTAGCAGTAATAATAATACTAATACTAATAATACCACTACTATTACTATTACTACTAATAATAATAATAATAATATAATAATAATACCACCACTACTACTACTAATAATAATAATAATATAATAATAATAATACCACTATTACTACTACTAATACTACTACTACTACTAATAATAATAATAATATAACAATAATACCACCACTACTACTACTAATAATAATAATAAAATAATAATAATACCACTACTACTACTACTAATAATAATAATAATAATACCACCACCACTACTACTACTACTAATATAATAATAATAATACCACTATTACTACTACTACTACTACTACTACTACTAATAATAATAATGTAACAATAATACCACCACCACTACTACTACTACTAATAATAAAATAATAATAATACCACTACTACTACTACTAATAATAATAATATAATAATACCACTACTACTACTAATAATAATAATATAATAATAATACCACTACTACTACTAATAATAACAATAACAATAACAATAATAATAATAATTTATTATCCGCCTCTCCTTACAGATCCCCTTCCGACAGAGGTTGGATGAGCCTCTTTCGGGAGGGCTTTACACCAAGGCAGAAAGGGAGGAGGTCAGACTAGATGACCTTTTGAGGTTCCTTCCTAATGACTACAAATCCCATCATCCCCGGGGTGACTGACCTTGGGGCGGCAGGTCGAAGCGGATGTGCCGGTCGAAGTGCATCTCGCCGTGGAAGCGTGCGTCGCACGACTCGCACAAGCGCAGCGGAGCCGCGCGGTTCAGCCGCTGGCACTGGGCATGGTGGCAGACCTGGAAGGAGTCAAAATGCAAATAAATATGCAAATACAAATAAAGATGCAAATGCAAACCCTGCCACTGGAAGGAGTCAAAAATGCAAATGCAAATAAATATGCAAATGCAATGCAAATAAACATGCAAACCCTGCCACGTGAAGGAGTCAAAAATGCACATACAAATAAATATGTAAATGAAAATAAATATGCAAATGCAAATAAATATGCAAATGCAATGCAAATAAACATGCAAACCCTGCCACTGGAAGGAGTCAAAAATGCAAATGCAAATAAATATGTAAATGAAAATAAATATGTATATGCAAATAAATATGTGTATGCAAATAAATATGCAAATGCAAATAAATATGCAAATGCAATGCAAATAAACATGCAAACCCTGCAAATGCAAATAAATATGCAAATGAAAATAAATATACAAATACAAATAAATATACAAATGCAAATAAACATGCAAACCCTGCAAATCAAATAAATATGCAAATGCAAATAAATATGCAAATGCAATGCAAATAAACATGCAAACCCTGTCATCCCGCCTCTGGTTAGTCACCATCATCAACATCAATTACTTATTATTATTATTATTATTATTACTATTTATTCTGCCACAAAGGAAGACACCATCCAATCCCTCCCGACAGATGGCCAACCTGAAAATATATTATTATTATTATTATTATTATTATTATTATTATTATTAATTCTGCCACAAAGGAAGACACCATTCGAACCCTCCCGACAGATGGCCAGCCTAAAAATATTATTATTATTATTATTATTATTATTTATTCTGCCACAAAGGAAGACACCATCCGATCCCTCCCGACAGATGGCCAGCCTAAAAATATATTATTATTATTATTATTATTATTATTATTATTATTATTATTCTGCCACAAAGGAAGACACCATTCGATCCCTCCCAACAGATGGCCAGCCTAAAAATATATTATTATTATTATTATTATTATTATTATTATTATTATTATTATTTATTCTGCCACAAAGGAAGACACCATCCAATCCCTCCCAACAGATGGCCAGCCTAAAATATATTAATAATAATAATAATAATAATAATAATAATAATAATTCTGCCACAAAGAAAGACACCATTCAATCCCTCCCAACAGATGGCCAGCCTAAAAATATATTATTATTATTATTATTATTATTATTATTATTATTATTGTTAATAATAACAATAATGGAAGAAACCATCCGATCCCTCCCGACATGAGGGCCATCCCACCTCTGGTTAGTCACCATCATCATCACCATCATCATCAAATTATTATTATTATTATTATTATTATTATTATTATTATTATTATTACTGTTAGAGTTCTGAAATTTTCACCACCAGGACTTTAGTTTTGTAAGTACTCTATATCCATGGATTGACCTGGCCTAGGTTGCAACCCAGGCTTGTATTGGGCTTTTCCGCTGCAGCATCCCACTCTTGGCTCCAGTCCGTGGTCCACTACGTCTCCCGGCCCCCTTTCAAAGGACTACATAACCCACCCTTGGCCGAGACTCACCCTCTCCGGCCGCCATCCTGGGCTCGGTGTGAACCTTTGGGGAGGAAGGAGCGCCGGCCGCAGCGCCATGAGTCAGAAGGCGGGGCGGCCCTTGCCAGGACTTGCCTCCCCTTCCGCCTCCTCTGCGCCCGGCCCTTCCCTTCCTACCTGCCGACAGGTGAGCCAGGTAGCGCTCACCTGGAACTGAAGCCTCTCCCAGGTGAGCGGACAGAGCGAGCGGTGGCAGTAACCGGCACCACGCCTCCGCATCGGGTTTCCTGAGCCTTGCCAGGGATTCTGCCCGGCTCTCGTTGGCACCGAGTCTCCGGCGATGTGGCTGTGCACCAATGTGCCATCCATCACTATACTCTCTGCCAATGTGCCAAAGTTCTTTGTTGTTGCTGCTATTAATATTATTATTATTTATTATGACGTCAAGGGTCTTTCCTTCCTTTCTTTTGCTCTCTCTCTCTCTCTTCACCCGGCGAAGGGAAAGGCAAGGAGGGCTTGCTTCCTTTCCTTCCTTCCTTCGCAATCACCGCACTGATAACGTCCCTACTTTGTGGATTTTCACTTATCGCAGGTGGTCCTGGAACGAGACACCTGTTTGGAAGAAGTCAGCAATGCCATCAGCCAACAAAAGAATAACAAAGCCAGCGGACCTGATGGGATCCCTGCTGACACACCAACTCAGAAGACACCCTCCCAGAATCCCAGAATGGCTTCCGCCCCTCCAGAGGAACCGTGGACAGGATCTTCACTGCACGACAGCTCCAAGAAAAATGGCATTCATCGACCTTGCAAAGGCATTTGACACAGTGAATCGCAGCTCCAACAAACGTGGCCAAAGAGGTTCTCTCACAAATCCCGCAACAACAAGCCAGGGATGAGCTTGCAGCACTGCCTCGTTTGGAAGAAGTCAGCAATGCCATCAGCCAACAAAAAAATAACAAAGCCAGCGGACCTGATGGGATCCCTGCTGAAATTTTTAAAGAGGGAGGACCTGAGCTGACACAACAACTCCGCCAGCTCATAGAAAAAGTGTGGGTGACCGAGAAAATCCCAGCAGATTTCAAGGATGCCACCATCATCACCCTCTTCAAAAAAGGGGGAAGACAAACTGCGGAAACTATCGAGGTATCTCCCTTCTAACCTCCGCTGGGAAAATCCTCGCAAGAATCCTTGCAAACCGCCTTCTGCCCCTCTCAGAAGACACCCTCCCAGAATCCCAGAACGGCTTCCGCCCCTCCAGAGGAACCGTGAACAGGATCTTCACTGCACGACAGCTCCAAGAAAAATGCAGAGAACAAAATCAACCTCTGTACATGGCATTCATCGACCTTGCAAAGGTGTTCAACACAGTGAATCGCAGCTCCAACATGGCCGAAGAGGTCCTCTCACAAATCCCGCAACAACAAGCCAGGGATGAGCTTGCAGCACTGCCTCGTTTGGAAGAAATCAAGAATGCCAACAGCCAACAAAAAAATAACAAAGCCAGCGGACCTGATGGGATCCCTGCTGAAAGTTTTAAAGAGGGAGGACCTGAGCTGACACAACAATGGCATCCATTGACCTTGCAAAGGCATTCGACACAGTGAATCGCAGCGCTCTGTGGACCATCCTCCAAAAGATAGCCCTCATTAAGCTAACCCAAGAGCTCAGAAACAATGGCTTCAAACGACAAGAGAGGAGATTCCATCTGAACATTAGGAAGAACTTCCTGACTGTGAGAGCCGTTCAGCAGTGGAACTCTCTGCCCCAGAGTGTGGTGGAGGCTCCTTCTTTGGAAGCTTTTAAGCAGAGGCTGGATGGCCATTTGTCAGGGGTGGTTTGAATGCAATATTCCTGCTTCTTGGCAGAATGGGGTTGGACTGGATGGCCCATGAGGTCTCTTCCAACTCTTTGATTCTATGATTCTATGAAACTGGTTTTGCTTTAGTTGAAAATCTCTTATCTTTTTCTCTCAGAGCCTGGCAGAACGCCGAAGCCACTCTTCGGCTTTTCTGTTTTGATTAATCTCCTGCCATCTATCTATTTGCTCATTAATTTCTGCAGCTGGGCCAGGTGCTGAGTTGTTTTCAAGCCCCAAAATCCTGGGAACTCTCTGCTAGCAATTCAGGGAGCACACCATCATCCCCACACCCCTCAGGAACATTCTCATGGGAAACTACTCTTTCCACAGGGATCTCCTGGCCCTTCTCTGCATCAATATCACTGACCAAACTATTGCCATCTTGAAACTCATTGACATAATTCCCCACATCCAATACATTTCCTATACTTGGAAGTTTTATCCCCTCATTAAGCTATCCCAAGCGCTCAGAAACTTGCGAATCCCTTATCTTTTTCTCTCGGAGCCTGGCAGAACGCCAAAGCCACTGTTCGGCTTTTCTGTTTTGACTAATCTCCTGCCGTCTATCTATTTGCTCATTAATTTCTGCAGCTGGGCCAGGTGCCGAGTTGTTTTCAAGCCCCAAATCCTGGGAACTCTCTGGTAGCAATTCCTGGACCCTTCATGGACATTCTCATGGGAAACTACTCTTTCCACAGGGATCTCCTGGCCCTTCTCTGCATCAATATCACTGACCAAACTATTGCCATCTTGAAACTCATTGACATAATTCCCCACATCCAATACATTTCCTATACTTGGAAGTTTTATCCCCTCATTAAGCTATCCCAAGCGCTCAGAAACTTGCGAATCCCTTATCTTTTTCTCTCGGAGCCTGGCAGAACGCCAAAGCCACTGTTCGGCTTTTCTGTTTTGACTAATCTCCTGCCGTCTATCTATTTGCTCATTAATTTCTGCAGCTGGGCCAGGTGCCGAGTTGTTTTCAAGCCCCAAATCCTGGGAACTCTCTGGTAGCAATTCCTGGACCCTTCATGGACATTCTCATGGGAAACTACTCTTTCCACAGGGATCTCCTGGCCCTTCTCTGCATCAATATCACTGACCAAACCATTGCCATCTTGAAACTCATTGACATCATTCCTCATATCCAATACATTTCCTGTACTTGGAACTTTTATTCCCTCATTAAGCTAGCCCAAGCGCTCAGAAACTTGCGAATCCCTTATCTTTTTCTCTCGGAGCCTGGCAGAACACCGAAGCCACTGTTCGGCTCTTCTGTTTTGACTAATCTTCTATCTATTTGCTCATTAATTTCTGCAGCTGGGCCAGGTGCCGAGTTGTTTTCAAGCACCAAAATCCTGGGAACTCTCTGCTAGCAATTCAGGGAGCACACCATCATCCCCACACCCCTCAGGGACATCCTCATGCCATCTTGAAACTCACTGACATCCCTCCCCACATCCAAAGCACCCTGATCCTGAAACACAATCACAGGCTGAGCTCCAACACCCGCCAATCCAAGGCATGAGTATACAATCATAGAATTCAAGAATCAAAACCATGAAAGGCACTTAAAAACACGAACCTTCCATGAAACAAGGATGAGATCTTGAATTGATT